TGGGTGTCGAGGCTTGAGGACTGATTTGGAGATGCCTGGAGATGTCGGCACCATGTGATGAGCAGATGCTGCACGCAAAACCGATGCATGACGGACGGAGTCATCAGTCCTAAGTGCTGGGCCTACAAGGAGAGAGTTATTAATGGGGTGGGGAGAGGGGGAAGAAAAAGTATGTGAAGGAGAAAGAAGGGAGGCGTCAGCAGTAGCCTGTTTTCGCTTACCCGCCCTGCTGTATGCAGCAAGTAAGGCGACCCGGCTGATGGCACCACGCGACGGCCGATGTGAGTTTAGTTTACTTGTGTATGTGCTATTCATGGTTGTACGTGGGCTGGGATACTGCCAGGGCGCCCACACCTAGACAGGAGGACGAGTCCTCAACCCCTGGTATGAGAGACTCTGTGAGTGTCGCGGGACACTCTCCAGTATAGCTCAATGGATCGCTGAGGTGCGCAAACCGTCACACCACGGTAAGGTCCAGTCTCTTCGTGACGAAGATGATAAAAGCGCACTCGATTGTGGTATTTGTGGTTGGGTGGAGGTCCAAGTACATAATCAAAAGAAAAAGGGCTGAATCTTCAGGTTACTTCCCAATTCTGATGCACAAAAACAACACGCAACGGTTGTCTCTGCAGTGGAAGGCCACGGATAAAAACCTTCAACACAAAAAACGGTAGGACAGTTACACCCATATGGACTGTATCGCAGCAATATAACGATCAGCTACCTGTATAGAAAAAGGATACAAACACATGTAAATTTTGTGGTATGTTGGCTTTTCCCCTAAGAAATAGCCACTAGGCATTTGTAGGGGAACCAGATGGGAAATTCTTGGCGTTCACAGGCAAATACATTCAAGAATCGATTAAATATGGTAGTATATACTTTTGATGTACTCGAACCACGCCAAACGCTAGGAGGCAAGGAAACTGTTCTCCCACATTCTAAGCGGACAATCCATCAAAAGTTGGATCCCGTGTGGCTCCACAACGTGGTGGGCACTTTCAGTTATACAGTTCGGAATAGGTTTATGCTAGATGTAGTTGTTGACATGCTAGCACCAACTTTTCAATTCTATTCACGGTACAGAAAAGGTATTCGGAATACGAATGTGGTCGCAGCGCCAATGCAAATATGAACTCCCCTACCAGACTCGAAATCCACAAAAACTACCGGTGGTATTTGGTTTCTAGTATGTGCATGACTCCAGTTGTTGAAGACATCAAGCGATTCGTTTGCCTCTACCACATGCATACCCACCACGGAGTGCACACGAACCGTGTTCCTCGCCCAACAGCTTCACAGCCACAGCCTTTAGTGTTCACTCGTATGGGCAGGCTAAGGTTTTCTAGCAACTGGGTTGGGTGATGGCGGTCGCGACGTGCCTACACTGTTGTGAACAGGTCATTTTTGCGCGGCCCAGTTGTACTTACGGTCAGTAAAAATCCGGTACATCAGCTGGTGATGCCGCGCTGAACGGGCAAAACATTTAGTGTGACGGAACGTCCCTGTGTGGCACTGAGGAATAAAGCGTGCACAATGTGAGAGAAGCGCGAAGCCACTACGCCAATCCTCAACACAACAGCATAAGGAACCCCTCGATACAGAAGCTGCGAGAGGTAAGCAGGATGATTTGTGTCGACTGTGCTGAAGATTTTATGTTAGTCTGACGTCGACAGCATGTTGCAAGCAAAGCTGTCCTTAACGGTTCAACGAAGCGGCTCACGAAACACCGAATTCTATACAAGATTTAATAAACAGAGGTAAACTTTTTGAAACTGCGGAGATCTCACCGGCGCAGAGGTGAAAATCTACGACTGGAAAGCAAGAAACCAAGCAAAGGTCATGAAAAAGACAACCAGTCACAGTAAAATGGATTTCCGTTTCGGCTTACTCATGTTCACGTATGCTCATAAAGCCGATTTTTGATTTTGGAGCGTTATCTTCCACATGGCAGTTTAGGGACTGGGATTTATAGGTTATATTCTATGACAGTGGTTCCTGTTGAAAACGAAACGGTGAAAAACCCAAGAATCTTGACCACACCATGCAGTCGGTAAACTTCTCAAACGATCAGCGGATACGTAATCAATTTACACATTCCAATAGGCCCAAAAACAATGAAGATCTACTTGACCGACTTACCTACGGTAGCGGAACCCCAGTTGATCATTAATTACATGAAAGTTTGGAGGTCAGTGGAGCAGGACGCCTTATCCACCGAACCGCTCAAATCGCAGGGACCAGCACCACAGAAAGAACATTTTTACTACCGTGCACAATTTGGAAGATGAAAGATGACTCAGAGATTGCATGGAAGCAACCATACATTGAGAGGAATTCGGTGGAAAACGGACAACCACTGAGGAATCGGTCTCTTTTCGCACGGTAGGAGAAATGTCCTTTTCAGTCGAACAGGCACCGTCAATGCGGAGGATAACAATCATGAGGAGCAGTGCAGATTCCAAAAAAGATCAAGTACGACTGACTAAATCTTTGCTGCTACAAGAGGTGTCCTGAACTGGACAAAGTGCCATGTCACTATGTATGGGCTCAACCGAACGTCCGACTTAGTTAACAGAAAAACACTACGGGTCATCCTAGGCAAGCTGGGCTGTCCGAATAAAACGGTCGATCTATTCTGGGACGAAAGCCCCGGTGTGGGCCTTGCAATTACGTTTAGAGGGGTTGAAGCCGATACGGAAGTTACTTGGAATGTATCATCACACTGACCCTGTCTATCCTGCTCTCATTTATAGTATAGAACCGAAACAGTTATCAAAGCGGTCCACCATACGAACGGATCGCATGATGTAATCAGCTGCGTGTCGATAGTTGTACAAGAAAATCGGATCGCATGGACGACGGTAGTCGCTTCGTATTTCCCGTGTATGTAAAAATATATAGTTATTCGTACGGTGTGTATTAGGAGGAGTGAAGCGCAAGATGTACAAGGCTTTTGGAAAAACAAGAGAGGTGGAGCACTGTTGTATATTCAAATTTATAAATCTGATGTAAGACGGTGCTTTTTAGCCAAGCCCTTTCCTTTTTCCTTGGTTTTTGAAGAGCGAGTTCTCCTGGGTTGTTTTCTCGATGCACTTTCCGGTGAATGATGGCTTGGGGATTCTGCAGACAAAAGAGGAACGTACATTACGAGCTGAGAAAGATAAAGTGACTCAAAAAACCTGCACTGATATGTGTGAATAATGATGACAGATTCCGTAGCACAATTTAATGTTAAAGCTGAGACGGATCAGTTCGAATTGGCTGCTTAGAATTTTATATTTAGGTCAAGAGATCGTCCTTCACACCACCTGTAAATAACTAGAGATACGGTTTTGTCTTTTCGGTTCTTATTCTATTCTATTGGATCATTTGAAGCCACAAAGTATTGAAGTGTAGTGGATGCAGCTGCAGTTCCAGATCAGCAAGAACAGCAAGCAAATTAATTTGACAATAAGCATCTGAACACAAGTAATACCGTTGCTTTCATGACGCTGGATGTAGGAAAGGACTTCAGTAAAATCCGTGGATATACCACGATTGATAGTCCCCAGTTACGTACAGTACCAGTATAGTAGTTGCTTGAGAACTCGGTCCGATACCATGCAACCCACACCATCTGACCAGATCAGATGGCTTTGTGTATTTTTGCATTCTGGTGGATTTGAAGCCAATGTGTTCGGTTTGACCAATATGTGCATAATCCTCCGCAGACGGTGCAGATGAAATCGATCACCCTAAGGTGACCTGGTGAAATCAAAGATTCAGATGTGACACCTGTATACCGCCCATGTCTAGCCGCGGTGCAAAGTATAGACAAGACGACAGTACAATACCCCGCCATTTCTATATCCACTCAAAAAATAACGATTGTCCCAGGTAAGTTTTTAAGGTCTTCTAAATGCGACCACAGCCCTAGATATTCAGAGGTTCGACGCGTTATGTCAACATCATCATTGTCAGCTGTAGTAGTCGCGTACTCGTCGTACAGTGGTTGCAGCCGCCACAGTTTCGTTCACCGATTATTTAAGGTGGGCCAGGTAGCTGCGCATTGGAGGCCGGAGCTGATAAATTCGTGCGCAAATACATTGTAGGTGGACTGTTAAGAAGCGGGTTTGGGAAGGGAGCTATGCATTGAAGGCAATGGCTTGGATGCATGGGCACCATTGAGTTCGCAACTGGGCCACATCTGAAAATGTCTCTAGCCGTCCGTCTGGGGGTTCCCATCAAGGAAGATGGAAATGACTAGCGCAGCTGAGTTTGCTGGTAATGGCTTTCATACTTCGCTGCCAAGTCATTGTTTGACCACCTCTGGCTCTTTTTCACCCTTCATGTGGTTGTGCGGAAAGAGACCATCGAAAAAGTCGGTCGACTGGCATACATAGCACGCGGCCACGCCAGCGCAACCGATGTAGTGTGATCAGCTCATCTATCGAGGGTGAGTTATTTTTCCCGAACACCATTCGGGCTATGCTCCGAAGACATAGATGGTCAAGCACTGAAGGTATTTTGACGTCTTCGGCGTGCAGCGGTCAGGTTTCTGATCCACATAGTAATATGGAGTGCACCGCAGCTTTGTAAACTCAACCCGTGACAGAGAAGCTGATGTCACACCTACGTCACAGGTGACGCAGGTTCACAAAAGCTGCTCTGGGCACTGAACTGGATACCGGAAGGCGCAAAGACGACTGTCTACTCCGTCACGAAGAGATTGGATCTTATCGTGGTGTGGCGGTTTGTGTACCTCGGCGACTCATTGAGCTATACTCGGGGGGTGTCCGCGCGACACTCAGTCTCTCATACCAGGTTGGTCCATGGGTAGAGATCTGATGAACACAGTCTCCTGGTCCTCCAGGTTGGGGGTTGGAACATGTATGGCGACTTGTTCCGTAGAAAAGGTAATGCATTTGCATTTCCCCGCCAAACACCGCTGCCTTGCGGTTAGGCTTTTGAGTCAAAGGCTTTGGTTGAGGACCC